GGAAAATACATGCATTTGCTTTCTTTCCAGGATTGAGATGAGAAGATTTAATCAATGTCATGTCTATGTGTTAAGTACAGAGCTGGAGTCAAGATGTGGTAAGCCTAGCTTAGTATAAAGGCTAAAGGAGGGTAAAAAAGCTAGCCTGGTTCTGTCCAAAGTTCAAAACTACACCGAACAACACTTCTAAAGCTGATTAACATGCTGTATCTGGATTGTTTAACATGTACACGAACCAAATTTGTAAATTCAGGGAGAGTTATGTGCTGGGACTATTTCTTTGCAGATGACACCTGTGCAATGACCCTCTGGAGTTTATTTCTAATGAGGTTTCCAGGTTTGGTACCATCAGGCTGTTACAGAGACCAAAACCAAACCTGTGTCAACAAACGTGTCTGGTACCTCACACTATAGCTCGTTACCCTTCACAGAAATGCATTGCAACAACTTCACTATTGAAACTGTTGGACACTAAAATATATTTAATGAAAATTAAACTCTGTGTGTGTGTGTGTGTGTTGTGTGTGTGTGTGTGTGTGTGTATGAGTTTGAGTTTTTACAGATTTACATCTTCAGTAGGAACCGAAAGGCTCGGCTCTGAGTGCCTCTACATGATGTTTTTTTCTCAAAGAGAAAGATGAAAAATAGTCAGTAGCAACCTTGATGACCTCTGGAAATGCATAAACACAGTGCATAGCAAAACAATCATCAGATTTTCCAGGAAGTGTATGCCAGTGTGTCTTCTCCACTGTTTGAGGTATTTAATAGCTCCATGTCAAAATGAATGTGAGGTCATTAATTATAGATGTTGAAAAGCTGTAGTAACAACACCAGATGCGCTGCATTAGAATTGCATTATGGCATCAGACAGACAAGACAGAGTCAAACTGTTTGACTTACATTACAATGACTTTGACATCATTGGTCATTTTCTGGTTTGCGTCTTGCTGATGCTGACTAAACTGCCAACAATAATGATGAGATACTAAACTGCTCTCTAGTGGATTTTCCCTGTAAAATGTCAAATAAACAACAAGAAAGACATCTGCCTTAAATTAGAGACAATGGAGTTTGGCAGGCTTTGTAATACAGTACTGGTTTCTGTAATTCCCAAATAACTGACACGTGACACATAAAAACACATTGTATAATATTGTATAATAATATATTTGATGAAAATCTTCCATTTCTCTGTGTTTTGACTGTCTTGTGTAGCTTATTGTCATGCATTTTGTGTTTTTAATGATTTGTATCCAGATTTTTCCTTGTCCGTTCTTCATTACAGAGTGGTTGGGATATAATACTTATTATATTATCGATCTTCAAAAAACATGATTGTAGGTAGTCATGCTATTAATATTCCTTACAAACTCAAAAACTTCTTGTTCCTACAGTGTGGTGTTTGAATGATGTATGTAAATGGACTGTACTTATATAGCACCTTTCTAGTCTTTTGACCACTCAATGCACTGTACACTACATGCCACACTTACCCTGCCATGCAAGGTGCCAACTGCTCACCAGAACAGAAACTAATTATAAGTAATCATTCATACACACTCAGCATCTGGAGCAATTTGGGGTTCAGTGTCTTGCTCAACTTCAACATGCAGCGAGAGGAGCCAGGGATCGAACCGCCAACCTTCCTATTAGTGGATGACCCGATCTACCTCTGAGCCACAATTGCAATATGTGCAGAGTCTGACACTAGAAGGATGTTTTCACATTCATCTGCGTGAAAAGTTTCTCTGTGCTCTGGGGCGTTAGAGGGGATGCGTGGTAAAGAGAGAAGGACAGAGACAGAGACAAAGCTGTGCACCAACAACAATAGCAACAACCATTACTAGAAATTCAATTTTCAATTCAATTCAATTCAATTTTATTTGTATAGCGCCAATTCATAACAGAAGTTATCTCAGGACACTTTTCAAATAGAGCAGGTCTAGACTGAACTCCTTATAACATTTACAGAGACCCAACAGTACCACCATGAGCAAGCACTAGGCGACAAGGGCAAGGAAAAACTGCCTGTTAAAAGGCAGAAACCTAGGACAGACCCTTCGGCTCTAGGTGGGTGGTCGTCTGTCTCGACCAGTTGGGGTGAGAGAGAGAGAGACAGAGCAGAGAGAGAGAGACAGAGAGAGAGAGAGAGAGAGAGAGAGAGAGAGAGAGAGAGATCTATCTTATCGAGGGCGCACACACACAGACACACACAGACACACACACACTGTATATAACTTATATAATGTTCATATAATAATAATGTATATATCTTTGATTTATTGTATTGTTTGAATACTTTGCTTTGGCAATGTTGTTTTTTTTAAAAACTTTCATGCCAGTAAAGCCCATTTTGAATTGAATTGAATTTTTGAATTGAATTGAGAGATTGAGAGAGAGAGAGAGAGAGAGAGAGAGAGAGAGAGAGATGCTCAGTGCATCATGGGAAGTCCCCTGGCAGTCTAGGCCTATAGCGGCATAACTTTTTTTTTTTTTTTTTTTTGTTTTGTTTTAGTTTTAGTTTAACATCAGAAAACTGCAGGACAGCCATGTTTTTATGTCGATAAGGCATGCTTGTAATTTGGCTAATTGATTAATTTCATCAGGATTGAGTGATTGCTAAAACTGGGTATCATGACGATGATGACGGTGATTCCTAATAATGTTGCCTAAGGGAAGCATATATAAAGTGAACAGAATTGGTCCAAGCACAGAACCTTGTGGAACTCCATGACTAACTTTAGTGTTTATGGAGGATTCATTGTTAACATGTACAAACTGAGAACGATCTGATAAATATGACTTAAACCAGCTTAGAGTGGTACCTTAAATGCCAATTTGATGCATTAAAAGATCTAATAAGATCTAATAATACAGTTCTAATAAGATCTAATAATGCAAGTACAGAGCCCAGTCCATTGTATATTTATCCTTATATATTTCCTTTAAATTATACTCACACTGTACTTTTTTTCTCTTCTGTACAGTAACATTTATGTCTGTGCAACTAAACTGTAATGCTGTAATCTATGTGCAATTTCCATCTATCTTTCAAGACAACTCTTTAAATATATATATATTCAGAATAATGATATGTGTGTATTCAATAGTCTGTGCAATTATCTCTGCGCAATGTTCCATCGAGGTGTATATATAACTCTTATTTTCTATTTCTATTATGTCTTGTATTTTAGTTTTATTGTATGTGGATTTACGTATCACTGTTTTGTGTTGTGTTGTGTTGAGCTGCTGTAATAACTACATTTCCCTAGTGTAAGGTCAATAAAGCCCATCTTATATTATCTTATTTTTGTTTGTTGTGATTGCTACCCTACATTTTTCAAGGAACACAGTTTTGTTAACTTCCCATTATTTTTTGTTTGCCTTTTTTTTTTAAATAAAAAAATAAAAATAAAATCACCATTAGAATTAAAGGTATGCATTTTTTAAATACATATTTATCATCTTTGAGAGCAAAGTGTAACAAGGATATAAACAGACACAATGTGGAAAAGAAACACACCACACCCTGAGTAATAACAAAAACCACTGTCAAAATTAAATTGAATTTAATTAAGTTTAATGCAAAGCATTTTTCCCCCAAAAATAAAAATGTGTCCATACCCTGAACATTTTTTAAAATGCACACAACCCCAGATCTTATCAAACACTCCTCCTCTATCTTCATTATAAAATCTCACTCTCTCCAGGTGTAATGTGTTCGCTATTTCTTTCAACCACAAATCATATCTAGGTATAGAGTCCATTTTCCACACTAGCAAATTTAAATTCACTTTTTCTTCAATCACCATTCCAAACAAAACAATGACGTATGTCTTTTTTCCGACTTATTGGCAAAAGATAACAAGCTAGTTGCTGTTAAATGACTGAATTTCTGAAATGTATTCGAGATACTATGGGGATGTTTTTTTTGTAAATTATTTTATCTTAACAATAGCGAATGCATCAATTTAGCCGGGGTGTTAAATCCCAAATCTAAAAGACCACCTTGTATGAAACCCACTAAAGCTGTGACATGGTTGTTGTTTTTTTAGTAATCTTAATTGAGCACATAAGTACAAACATCAAGACACATTTTCATATCTAATTCAACAAATATCTACTGCCTCAGGCTGAACAAAACCAAATCCAACAATAGCAAATAGAAAACAAATTCAAAATAAGAATACATACATAAAAAACGGGGCTATCGCTAAAACATTTAAACATATCAAGTAATGAAAATGACTTAGGACCTTTCTTGTCTTAACAAGTTTTGATAGAGATAGAGGCTACTCAAGATATTTTGCTTATTCTTCCAGTGGTTCAAACTGGGTTTGGTCTTAAAATATCTGCATTTATGTATGAAAAACTTTCCCAATAATAACAAATTATAATGATATGACAAGTTGTTTTTTTTCTTTATTGAAGTAGAATTTATACTATTTAAACAATATGACCAGTAAATACATCATCAGAAGTAGGCTCTGTAGAAAACAGGATTAAACCATCATAAAATAACAAATAAAATGGGGTGTCTTCTAATAATTTAAAGGCATTCAAAAAAAATATTTTTTCTTTTTAAAATATTTTAGTGATTTATAGTAGAGTTAATTCTTTCATACAGTAGCTGTGACAAGTGAACATCCTGTAGCACTTCAAGCGCCTGCGCATTTCAAGAAGCATGCTAGCAGTCATGTGACAATAACAAAACTCTTATGGTCAGGTGAGACCATTGGGTCAAACACTGTAAAACCTAAAGTTACTTCTGTTGATATTTTCAAAATAAAACAACGGCTTGCAAAGTACAATAATGAAAAGTAACATACCTAGAAGAAAAATATAAATAAATGGAAATAAACAGACCTACTTTTTAAATTATTTTCCTAAGCAATGCAAAGCTAACAACAAATAAGCTATTGGTATTTTGTGCTTGCCTCAAGTCATATCTATAGTTTTGTTTTGAAAGTGTACCCGTCATGTTTCCGCTATGACGCTAGCTAACTGTCGCTAACTTACCGCGGCTGTTAGCGGGTTGGAAGTACAGAGAGACAGGCTGAACGCAGGGTCGTCGTCCTCAGCAGTGAACACAGCATGGCTCCGCTGAAGTTCTGTGCGAATATTTCCTGGCTCTTCACGGAGATTCCAGACTTCACTCAGCGGATATACGCGGCTGTTTCGGCTGGCTTTCAGGCCGTAGAGGCAGCCTGGCTGTACGACTGCGACCTGCAGGAGCTTCAGAGGGCCAGAGAGGCTACAGGAGTGGAGGTGGTCCTCATCAACACCCCGCCGGGTAAACAACAGCAGCATGGGCCTCACACTGAATGACAGTCAGACTGATACTGAATGGTTAGTAATAATTAGAGCATGATGATGATGGTGGTGGTAATAATAAGTGTGTGTGTGTGTGTGTGTGTGTGTGTGTGTGTGTGTGTGTGTGTGTGTCGCAGGAGATGTAAAGGCAGGTGATCTTGGTCTTGGAGCAGTTCCTGGAAGAGAGGCAGAGTTCAGACAGGGTCTGGATCTGGCTCTGAAGTATGCAAGAGCGTTGGACTGCAAAAGGTGAAGCATCTGAGTAAAGGCTCAGTGGATATCCACTTCTGTATTGTTTTCACTCCCAAACCAGTTTGGGGAATAACAAATAGACCGTTTGCACAGCAACCAGTTCGACATGAAGTAGTAGGGTAAACAATAGATGGGACATTGAGACAGACAACCACCCACCTAGAGCCGAAGGATCTGTCCTAGGTTTCTGCCTTTTAACAGGAAGTTTTTCCTTGCCTCCCTGTGAGCCAACATGCACAGTAGCAGCACTCCACTCTGTTTGACCTGAATAAGTATCATTGGTAATGCCTGTGTTTACCCTGCTATTTCCTGTCAGAATGGCTGCTGTGAAAAAGGTCTATTAGTTTGTACAAGTGTAAGTGTTTCTATATAGGCCCAAACGTGCTGAAAGAGTCTGGGATGTGCATTTTGAGGTACCAAAAGTGCTAAAAGCACATCGCTTTTAGGGTGTATATAAGTTCAATTCAATTCAATTCAGTTTTATTTGTATAGCGCCAATTCATAACAGAAGTTATCTCAGGACACTTTTCAAATAGAGCAGGTCTAGACCGAACTCTTTATAACATTACTTACAGAGACCCAACAGTACCACCATGAGCAAGACCTTGGCGACAAGGGCAAGGAAAAACTGCCTGTTAAAAGGCAGAAACCTAGGATAGATCCTCCGGCTCTAGGTGGGTGGTCGTCTGTCTCGACCAGTTGGGGCTGGGGGGGAGAGAGAGAGAGAGAGAGAGAGAGAGAGAGAGAGAGAGAGAGAGAGAGAGAGAGAGAGAGAGCGAGAGAGAGAGACACAGACAGACAGACAGACAGGTGCACAGCAACAACAGTATTGACAATGGCAGTCAAGCAGGACCATGGCAGGAGGCTCCACCAGGATCCATGAGAACCTGCGAGACGAGAAAGCACAAGAACTCCGGGGAAGAAGTGGAGTTAGTAACATGCATTAATGGGACATGAATGAGTGCAGAAAGAGAGAGGAAGAGAGGAGCTCAGTGCACCATGGGAAATCCCCCGATAGTCTAGGCCTATAGCAGCATAACTAAGGGATGGTTCAGGACTCACCTGATCCAGCCCTAACTATAAGCTTTATCAAAGAGGAATGTCTTAAGCCTACTCTTGAATGTGGTGAGGGTGTCTGCCTCCCGAACCACAACTGTAAAAGGACAAAATAATATAATGCATTGGAAATAGGTCTGTGTTGAAAACGGTATTCCCTGATGGCAGTGGCCTCTTTCAGCAGGATAACGCATCGTGCCACAAAGCAAAAATGCTTCCAAATTTCCTAGATCTCAGTCCAATTGAGCATCTGTGAGAGCTGGACAAACAAGTCCGATCCATGGATGCCCCACCTCACAACTTACAGGACTTAAAGGATCTGGTGCTAACGTGTTGGTGCCGGATACCACAGTACACCTTCAGAGGTCTAGTGGAGTCCATGCCTCGACGGGTCAGGGCTGTTTTGGTGGCAAAGGGGGACCTACACAATATTAGGCAGGTGGTCATAATGTTATGGCTGATCTGTTTTTGATATAAGCGTCTATATAGTTATGTAAGGATATAAAGCAGGTTTTCACCTCATCAATTTTGCATAAGTGTGTAAAGCATTTGCTGTGAATTCATCAGGATCCACCTGATGGCCGGGAGGGTTCCTGTGGGCTCACACAGAATGGCGGTTGCCAAGGAGATGGAGGCCATCTTTGTGCAGAACCTAAACTATGCTGCTGATATGCTCTCAAAGGTGGGTGACCTTATCCGTCCAACATAATAACAGCTTTCTGCAGTAGGGAATTTCTGCAGAAATATAGTGATATGGCAAATATTATAAAATATTTTTGTTGTCATATTTTATGAAACTTTCACTATATCCTGACAGTAGTACAATAGGGTTCCTCTGGCCAAATGTGGGTGAGGCTAATCAGAAGTGGCTCATTTAAGCCTGAAATTGATATAGGTTGATCAGAAAAACTATTTATAGAACAACTTTTTTTTGTTATGTTTAAAAGTTGCTATATTTACATTTGCAAGGCTGTCAGAGGTATGGATACTTAGATAATTTTTTGATTACCACCTGTTTAAAATGATTCGATACTATCATTCAGTAGTATCCAAAGTACCAAAGCTCCAACCCAGGGCTGCACAGATAAAACAATGGGGAAGAAACTCCACTGGTTCCCATTATGTGTTCAGTCACTTTTTCAGTACCGGTATTGTGTGCAGGCTTTTCATTTTAAAAAAGCAAAACTTCTGTTGTGCTTGGACTTTTTTCTTTGAATCAATGTTAAAAATTCAGGTATTGTGCCAAGCTTACTCGTTTCACACTCGTACTCACATTAAGTCCATTATCTGTTGGGACAGAGTACTCGCTCAACCCTAAGTTTGTAGTAGTCATCTATTTGTTGCACTGGATGTATAATATGTCACATATTAGTTAGATGAGATAAGTTTAGCAGCACACCACCTTGAATAAATGCTTCCTAATATAATTGTGATTTCTTTTTTGATGGAGCACTGTATCACCTTATGATTTGTTAAGGTTGTGAAATCACTGATCCTCACAGGAAGGAATCACTGGTTTGATTGAACCAATCAACACAAGGATTACAGATCCCAGGTACTTTCTGGACTCTCCTCATCAAGGTAAGACACTGTGTCCAAGTGAGACAATGCAGACACTAACCAGCACATGGAACAACCTTTGAAAAACAAATGGTGTTTCATTAGCATGAAGTAGTTTTTACGAATCACTTCAGGAAATCTGCATGAAAATAAATAAAACCTTCCACATAGGTCCAGTCCTTTGTCGAACCTCTTCAACTGGTATTGTGGGATAATCGCCCTGATAGTGGCGCTACAGCAACCATCTAAAACAACCACGTTGCAACTTTCACCAAAATATAGGCCCAGCTAAGCAGAAATGTTTACTTGCTTCGAGCTGGTGGGAATTATGAAATCTGTCACTGTTTTTCTGCTCTCACATTTTTTGCTCAGCTGATACCGAACTGGCTACATCTTCAGACTGTTCTCTACAAACTATCCAGCCAGATATTTGAATGATCAAACATTGAGCCCACAGACAACTACAGACATTCCTACCATTTAGAATTTGGTGTAAAAGAACACATTTAACATTTGCACTCACCAGTGGTGTCATTCTTCCAACAAACTTTTGGTTGCCATATTGGATGTGAGTGTGTGAATCATTTAAAATGTCCCATGAGCTGTCGTTTTTTCATGTCTGATATGACACGAGAAACTGGTGAGTAATAAGTCATTTTTTTCACTGCTAATGTGTTTTATGTTTTAAGTCCATTGATGTAAGTGCAGAGCACTCTCTGAACATTATCATAAATGGAAATGTAATGACTCAGACAAGGTTAGACACGTCAATGCTGTGCAGTATGAGTACAGCAATGTGTGATAAAGGTGTGTCTCATGTCTACCATGTCCTCTCTGGCATACATAATGTCTCAGCTGATATTATAAATTTTTGTGTCTGTAGCAGCTGCAATTCTAGAGAAGGTTGGAAAGCCAAATATCAAGCTGCAAATGGTGGGTGTTTTAACCTCAAAATAATAACAAAAAACTATGATGAAGCTCTTGATTTTACAGATGTCTGATCTGTTTCAGGATGTTTTTCACTGGCAAATAATGGATGGAAACCTGACACACAACATACACAAGTATTTCCCCATAATCGGTGAGTCAGATCTTCATACAAATGAATACAGAATGATGATGATTAGTGGTGTAAGAGAACATTTATACACTTGTATTGTGATATTATTTCTATATATATATATATATATATATATATATATATGTGTGTATATATTATTAATTTTTTTATATATATATATATTGTTTATATATATATTATATATATATATATATATTTTTTTTTTATATATTATATATATATGTGTGTTTTTTTTTTTTTTTTTTTTTTGTTTTTTTTTTTTTTTTTTTTTTTTTGTGTTTTCATATATATATGTATATATGTGTATATATATATACACATATATATACATATACATATATATATACATATGTGTATATATATACAATGTATGTATGTATGTATGTATGTATGTATATTTTAATTGAAAAAAACTTGTGATGTGATATTTGTTGTTCTGTACCAAACAAACAGAAATTGGTTGTTGAGAGCTGACCTAAGCCTGTATTGACGATTCAGATAATTAACTAAGATGTGGACGAGGTAGGATAAGAAATGTGCAAACTCATGCTGTTGCCTCACCCTCAATCTCACAAAGCCATTAAACGCACAGTGGTTGAGTGATTTCTGACAATATCTAACAAATATCTCACACTGAAAATCAGTCTTGTGTGGAAATGCCTGTTGTGAGGGAACTGTAGTCACACCAGTGCATCTTCAGCTACTGAGAATAAACGTTTGACTGTAATAATGTGGGGCAGAGCTTTTGATTAAAGAGCATGCTCAGTAAGCTTCTGGAGGTAATAAAGTTGAGAAACAGCAGTCTAAGAAGAAGTCTCATCGTCTCGCTCAGGTCACGTTCAGATTGCTCAGGTTCCGGGCAGGAATGAGCCTGACAGTGCCGGAGAGCTTGACTACAGCTACCTGTTGAACACTCTGAAGGACCACGACTACCAGGGATACATCGGCTGTGAATATAAGCCACTTGGTGAGGGGCTCTTTTTGTTTGATTAATTATGAAACCCATTTAGAAAGAATACATGTTAATAATCCTCTCCGCCCACTTTAGGCTTCACAGAGGAGGGTCTGGGTTGGATCAGAGAATACTGCACGCACAGCAAGTGATGATCCAATCACACCACTTCTACCTGGACTAACTTTTTCCAAGTTCCATTCTAGTGGCCTTATCTTAACACACATGACCTAAACATTTATTTTGTACAATCAAGAAATACAGTTGCAAGAAAAAGTATATGAACCCTTTTGGAATTACCTGGATTCCTGGTTGGTCATAAAATGTGTTCTGAGCTTCATCTAAGTC